TATTAGTATTGCTTTGGATTTACATTGGTGTTAGTGGGGGCAAAACTTGGCCTCTGTTTCTGACAAAATAATTTCTTTTGTGATAGATGGTTCAAAGTTTTCAAGAGAGCACTTCAGTCTAATACGATCTTCTCTGAGATAAGAAAGTAGGAGTCTCTATGGGAATTTATTCATCATTATCAGTCTAATTGCAGCTGAATTCCAGAGGCTCTTGTTGAAATGGATAATTGTACTATAAAGCTAGTTTTTAAGTTAGTTTAGTAATCTGTTTAAATTATGCAATTTTGCATTCACAGCAAGGAAAGAAACTGTGACACTATTACATGTATTTGTTTCCTATCACTGACATACAGCAAGCAGAGTGGAAGAAAATGGGACACAATTATTAAGTAGCCTTATTTCTTGACTTGTAGGTTGCATGTTTTTCACAAGTGCAGAGGCTCACAATCAAGGGAAAATGCAAAGTCTGAGTAACTAGTTTTCTCATTAAGATTAAGATATATTAAGACTGGGAATCTCTGAAGAGGGCTACAAAAGCTTTTTGTTCTCTTCTAGTGGTTTCCTAATGCTTTTTGAATAAATGAAAATTACAAAATTAACTTAACATGGGACAACATGAGTACAAATTGTGATCTCTTTCATGGGGTGAGTGTAAAAAGATCACTAAGTATCCTGCTGGGAAACTCAGTGTAAAATAAAAAAGTAAGTTAATGGTATAGCATATGCCGGAGTAGCTTGTGTCTAAAACTTTTGAAGTCTGGGATAAAAATCTCAATCTGGTAAGAAATACATGAAGCTGTTAAGCATTTATTTTTATGACAGGAAATCAGACTAACATTTTAAAAATAGAATACAGTATAGACAGTTATGTGTGTGCATATAAACTTTTTCCAAATGTTGGTTTTAATTGTGGCAGGAAGAAATTTAGTGCAATTTTTAAAACTTTTTTTTGCTAATTTTTTGTCTGTCTCATGGATTTTGAAACCTCAAGATTTTGCTTTTAGTGAATTTTTGAGGAACCAATAATTTTCCCCAGATTGTCTTGCCAAGTACATGTTCACATCAATATTTTGTAATTTCACATATTCAGAATTTCCATGCCTGCCATCTTTCTCAGTATTGTTTTATGGAGAGAAGAGGAAGATATACAGCAACAGTCACATGTACCCATTTATAATATATATTGTTATGTATGCATAGCTATGAGAACCTGCACATATGGACATGAGTTCAGGCAGGGATGGGAGAAGTTGGAAGCATATGCACTTTGGTTCCACCTCCGGAAGCAGCATAGGATCTGTACCAGGATCTCTATTATGTGGTTGGCCAGGTAAAGAACAAAACTGAAGCATTGAGGTTTAAGGATGCAAATGGCTTGCCAGATCTTTTCCTTGAGTGGAAGCAGGAAGTGGTCCAAATGAGAGTTGACTTTCGTGGATTTGGAACTCTTCTCAGAATGACTAGATGTTGGAGGACTCTGAGCAAGCCCTAGAGATTATTAGTAATTCTGACTATTCAACAGGAGCTACAGATTGAGTGTCCTTTGAGGTGGAAGCAGTTGGCCAGGATATCACATCTGCTGCTCCCATTACTGCCCTTACACCATGAGCTTCTCTTCTTCCTTTCCCTTACTATCCATGAGATGCAGCAAGCTCCCAAGAGGGGTATTCAGTCTGTCTCACTCTTGAGAGCGGAAATCGGGGGGTAAGAATCTGGACAGTAATTTACTCTTGTGAATTTTTATAGGTATTTTATCCATGAGTGAAAGCACTGTACTTGCCCTTCATATGGGAGAGATTCTGTTGAAGCAAATGTAAAAGTAAATCCACAGAACTAAGTATTAAGAGTTAAGTATTAAGCAATTTTAAATTTTCAGTGCTCCTTTTTAGAAGGGATGACGGGTAAGAACAAGTCAGTGAAAGTAACTAGAGTTCAAGCTTCTACTTTCACTTATCTTGCAGGTAAATTTCATTTTATTTGGTAATGGAATTGTGTGTTCACTGAAGAATAAATAGAAAGCATTTATTACCTTAAAAGAAAAGAAATCTATAGAACTTCTTAAAATATTAAATTCCCAGATGCAAATTTTTAAAGATGGAGTTAAGGTAATAAATATGTATCAATCATTTTAGGTGGGGAAAAAACTGTTTTTTGAAGAAAGTTCAAATGTTTAAAACTCATGAAATAAAAGTAGAGCATATACTTTAAAAACAAACAAACCAGGACCGCTTAAGAAGGTGAAACCAGACTTATTTCTGTATTGAACTTCAAGTCTAAATAGTGCTGTAAAAATGACATTGTAGGGTTCCATGTTTCTCTCATTGACACTGTATCAAATTTGCTTAGTAAATTTTCAAATAAAAAATCTTTCCCCCTAATTGCCAACCCAGCAAACTCACCCTGGCATCTGAAAGTCATTTGTTTAGTCAATTATTTTCTGTCTTCTTCGAGTATGCTCTCACTTTAACTTACTAGTGAGCCTTAGCTGTGCTTTATATCCTCACACACCTTCCACTCAACTCCAAAAGACAACCATAGTCCTCCTGTACATCTTCTTTATTAATGGGATGAGCCATAACACATATGACAGTGTGCCATACTTAATGTATGAACATCTGCAGCAGCTACCCACCACATATGTGTCATCTACTCAGACGCTAGTGTGTTAATGTTTTAGGTCATGACTCTGTTTAAGGAATAGTAAAAAATTAAGCATCTGTTTGAAGTTATAAGTAATATAGGAAAAACTTTGGTGAAGAATTTTTTTACAGACTCAAATGTAGAAATGCAGTGACTGCTGTATCACTTCAGAATTGCTGGCTGAAGAAATTAATCTAAAGTAGCAATATGCAATTTTATAACTTCTTGTAAGATAACAGAAAGCAATTTAGTAGTTTTCAGATCTGAAATTTCTTTCTAATACTATTTATATGTGAAAGGTTATTTTTTCTCTCTCTCATTTTATGTCTCTGTCACAAGACATTGGGTAGTGTTGGCTGTAGCTATAGCATCTCCTTTTACCTCCTCTTGCTATTAACTTTGAGAAAAGTTAAAATAGTTCAAACAACTGTAATTCTCACATCTATCCCTTAATAGAATTTACAGAAGGACTGAATATTCTTATGACCAGCATTGTAATTAAACATGATAAAATAAGGCTTGCCATATTTTCTGCTTCAGTGTACCAGTTGATCACTGCAGGTGCTGGGAATTTCCCCTTCCCTGTATATATTGCAAAGTCAGCTAGGTGCATTGCAAGGAGAGTTGTAAGGCAACTATTGGAGACAAGTACCCAATTTACTGGAATGATAGTCTGCTGCAGTAGGCCAAATCATATGGTCTTCCTCCTACCAGCTGCTTTCCTTTTGTGATCCCAGTAGCTTTCCCCAAGATCAACATCATAACACTATGGTATCTATAACACTTACAGTACAACTATGAAAGAGGCAGGAAGTCTTGTCCTCAGCTCTTCAGTCATCCAACCTTTTTTTGTTTGGAGCCTCCTTTTGGGGTGGATATGTGCTCCCCTTGCACCATGCCTTTGCTGTTGCTACCTCTCCTCTTTTATTTTTGACCATTTTCTTTTTCTCACATGTATCATTCTGCCTGGTCTGATTTTATTTTTTTCATTTTTGTTTTCTGTATGTGTATGTTTGGTGCACACACTCACTCTTCTACTTGTTTCTGGTTTTCTAGCCCTGTTGTCCTAGATCGGGGGCATCCATCAATGATAACCATAGCCAAGCAGAGTACCTATGGAATGGAGAAGAGAAGCTTGATATCTGTCTCATCCTGGCACTGTGTGCACATGATGTGCTTATGGGGTTGGTTGCCTTATGACCATGAGAGCAGGGAGAATGACTGGCTGCTTTCAAGAATTTTCTTTCCACTTTATCTGCAGGTTCAAAAGCCTATTTGTAGAGGAGAGTTACTCTAACCGACTGCTCCTGTCCTTTGCTTCCTCCTAAATCCCCAGACTAGTCTGGCGCTTGCCCTCTGAGGTTGGGTGATGCTAAAAAGCAACACAAATTGTGTACCTTCATCCAAGGGACTGGTACTGATCCTCTCTTCTACTGAACTTAAACCTATATGTATGTTCATTCCCTTACACATGGAAGGGAAACATAATATTGAGAAGAAACTACTATAGCATGTGATAACCTTACTACTTGCTCTAAATTATTCCTATAAGTAAATAATTAGTAACTAGGCAATTACTTTATTATATGTCAGTGGCTAAATAATAAAAAATGTTGCTTTCTAGCAAAATTATTTAACTAAATTTTGTAACTTTTTAGACTCAAATAATTTTTATTCCTAGTGCTACATAACAAAATTGTCTAGTAAATCCTGTAATAATTTATTCCTGTATTTTTTTACTTAGAACAAGTAAAATGCGTGTGCTTTTTTTCTAGGCTGTTCAGTAGCCACACAGAATGAGGCCTTATCTCATGCATATGATTATAACTTGGGCCTTGACACTGCAAACATTTAAGCATGTACATAACTTTATGGAACTACTTGTGAGTAAAATTATGCATGTGCTTAAGGCACCAATTCAGCAGTCTATCCCTGTTCACCAAAGTACGTGCTTAAATTCTTAGCTGAATTGAGGTGCATGCATCTGCAGGATTGAGGCCTAAGTTTGAAACTGAATTTTAGCCTAGCAATTTGACTCGCACGTTTTTATGGAAAGTTTTAATCAAAATACTGTAGTTCAAAAGGATGAAGTTTAACCATCAGTTAAAAAATCAAATATGCTGGGTTTTATGGAGTTTAGGCTTCCAATAATTTTTTAAAAAGAAAATTAAAATGTGTGATTAATTTGAGTTAGAAAAAGTAAACCTGGTCCAAATTCAAAGTTCAAGTTATGACTTGTTCTCTACTGCAAAAATGTAGTGGACTGTGTGGTTAGGTGAATGCATTGTATGCAGCTGTGTGCCTGCAAACACCACAAAGGCAACAGGAACTGAAGTTAATGAGAAAAATATGAAGAAAGATTATAGTTGAATGAAAGTATAAAAGATGTAAAAATGCAATCAAATAATGGGTAGTAGTGGGTGGAGTTAAAAATAAAAGCACCACTTATTCAGTTTCTACAGCTATCCAGATGCTAGAAAATACTTTGTTCTTCACTCCAGCCCATCTGTTATTCCTTATTATAACTGACATCACCACAACTACCACAACTGCTAAAGCATCACCATATAAAAATGGCAAAACTTAACACTTACTGCACAATTTGATGGAAAGAAAACTGCAGGAATCAGTCTGTAGTTTGCTGAAAGATTTTCCATTTTTTTGCATGGTGGTGCTGTAACAGAAGTGATGCCAGTTATGACACACAATATGACCTGAATGGCTGTATTTTTTAATTTGAGTATGCCATAATAATACATTGTTTGATCTGAGAAGTTAAACACAAGGATTTTTAGAAGCTCTCTCTACATTTACACCTAATTCCACTTTAAGGAAGAGTTTGGTAGGGAAGAAGAAAGTGATTAAATTAATCAATTATTACCATACTGGCTAGAGATGTACAAAATATTGCCATTTTCAAAGGCTTCTTTGAAAAGATTGTTTTATGTTGTTTATAGTGCTACAAAATATGTGGTGTGATTGTATTTCTTTACCTAAGTTGGGCTCTGAGCCTGCAGAAAATTACATATGTGCCTAACCTTGCACACTGAGAATTCTCTCATGTCTGAGGGCTTGCTGGAGAGCTAGAACTTGAAGAATTGGATGGGACTACTTGCAGTGTGTAAAGAATAGCATCCATTGTTGCCAACTTTCCTGATTAAATTGCATTCCTCATGATATTTGGTGTTTTTTCTTAAAGCCCTAGCTCCTAGAGTCTTGTGACTGAGTGAGAATTTCAGCTTTTATTTAAAAAAAATAAATAAAATAAAAAAGCAAGTTTCTAGCCTGATCTTTGCAGGGGAAAGCTTGAAGAAGAAAAATAAAAAGAATCCTAAATTTAATAAGTGGACTTGCTTCTGGCAGTCTTTTGAAATCGCCACTCAAAAGCTGTCATGTAACCGAAAAAGTGGACTAGTCAAAAAGGGTGAAATTCACCTCTCTGCACAAGGGCAGCACAAAAACCTATGCACTACTTCAGTACTACCCAAGTATTGTCTATGCCTTGTGCTGGCCTCATCACAGATGTGCATTTCATCTTAAATACACAATATAAGTATCCTTAAAATAACTCCAATGTGTGTGAACAAATGGATTTTTTTTAAGACTGTCTCCATGGAACAGGATGGGGAAGCCTTATCTATGAAAGCATTTATTTCCTTTCTTTACTAGAACCTTTCTCAAGGACTTCTCATAGGGAGTGGGATTTTCAAAGGTGCCTAAGGGAGTTAGGTACCCAGATCCTATTAAATTTCACGGGTAGTTGGCGCTTAACTCTCTTAGGTCTTCTTTGAAAATCCCAGCCAATGGCTCTAACCTCAGAGAGTATCTCAAGTGAACAGGTTGTTTTGAGTGGAAGCCTCATTTTTTTTCTCCCATTCCTTCATGTTGGTAGCCCTTTTCTCTCTCCATTCTTCTGATCTTTATCCTTCATTTTATCAAACACTTTACCGAGCTGCAGTTAAAGTGGTGCAAAGTGGTAGTGAGGAACTTTTCTGGGGACATTCTGGATACATGGTTTGCAGTATCTATAATCCAGAATGAAGAATTTTCACTTATACTGGTGTAAATCAGGAGTAAGTCCAGTGAAGTCAATAAGGTGACCAAAGTGAGAGGAGATGATCTGGACGACCTTGTAAACTGGAGTAATAGAAATGGGATGAAATGTAATCATGCAGATCATGCATTTAGGGACTAACAACAAGAATTTTTGCTGTGAGTTGGGGATCTATCAGTTGGAAGTGACAGAGGAGGAGAAAGACCTGGATTTATTGGTTGATCACAGGTTGACTATGAACTGCCAATGTGATGCGGCTGTGAAAAAGGCAAATGCAGTCTTATGATGCATCAGGCGAGATGTATCCAATAGAGATAGGGAAGTGTTATTGCCAGTATACAAGGCATTGGTGAGACCTCACCTGGACTACTGTGTGCAATTATTGTCTCCCTTGTTTAAGAAATATGAATTCAAACTGGGACAGGTGCTGAGAAGGGCTACTTGGATCATCAGAGGAATGGAAAACATACCTTATTAGAGAAGACTCAAAAAGCTTGGCTTGTTTACCCTAAGCAAAAGAAGGGTGAGGGGGAGATATGATTTCTGTCTATAAATACATCAGTGGGATAAATACCAGGGAGGAGAGGAGTTATTTATGTTAAGTACCAATGTGGACACAATAATAAATGGATATAAATTGGCCATCAACAAGTTGAGGCTTGAAATTAGGGACGGTTTCTAATGCTCAGAGGAGTAACATTCTGGAACAGCCTTCCAAGGGGAGCAGAGGGGGTAAAAAGCCTGACTTGTTTCATGACTGAGCTTGATAAGTTTAGGGAGGGTATGGTATGATGAGACTGCCTACAATGGCATGTAGCTGTTCTGCAACTGCCAGCAGCAAATATCTCCAATGGCTGGCGATGGGACACTAGGTAGGGAGGGCTCTGAGTTACTACAGGGAGTTATTTCCCAAGTGTCTGGCTGGTGCATCTTGCCCCCATGCTCATGATTCGTCTTGTTTGGGGTCAGGAAGAAATTTCCCCCCAGGTGAGATTGGCAGAGACTCTCAGGGTTTTTTGCCTTTCTCTGCAGCATGAGGCATGGGTCACTGGCAGGTTTAAACTAGTGTAAATGGTGAATTCTCTGTAACTTGAAGTCTTTAAATCCATGATTTGAGGACTTGATTCAGTAATTCAGCCAGAGGTTAGGGGTCTATCACAGGAGTGGGTGGGTGAGGTTCTTTGTAGCCTGCAATGTGAAGGAGGTCAGACTAGATGATCGTATTGGTTGCTTCGGGCCGTAAAGTCTATGAGAATCAGACATAAAGTCCTTGAGTATTGTCTAGGAATTAATTTCTTAATTCCATTCTTTATAAATGATAAATAATGACAACCAAATAAAAGTACACCATAAAGCATTTTCTATGTATTTTTTTAATTTAGCAGTTTACAACTGCCATCACTCAAATTAACAAAGCTGCTTCTGTAATTCTTGAAAGACTGACTTGAAAATAAGTGATATTGACTATTAAACTCTAAATACTTTTTAAAAATGTAAAAAATTGATTGTGGCAAAAGTGATGGAATAGTGTTTTAGTTTGTTTTTAAAATAAGAATCAGAATAGTTGACTCTGTAATTCTATGAAGCCAGCTATTTGAATTACAGATTTGGTATTGTATGACTGGAAATATCCAAAGCATTTAAATTTGTTAAAAAATATGTTGTGAACAATTTGTTTTGTAAGAGAAGACCTACAAAAAACATATGCCATTATTATTCAAAATCCAATAAAAGGTAGATTTTCAAATTATTACCATATGTGTGTAGGAGTTGCTTTGTTCAGTAATGTTATTTTAAATACCAAAATAATTTGTTTCATATTTTGAGTTCTTCACTATTAAAGTGTCCCTTCAGATTCAGTGTTGCTTTGACTGTTGTGTGATGTATAGTAAAACAGTCAATAAAAGAAATTTAACAAGTAATTGGAATTGCAGATTGAGTGTAAAATGTGCCAAATGAAGTAATGGCCTTTGCAGGATATTGTATGGGTGCAGTAGCTGTGGGGAAACTGCTATAAAACTATTAAATACACCTTTAAACAATATTTGAAAAGCCTGAGAAAATAAAGGAATCTGATTGGATGACTAACATTCCAACAGAAAAATTAATGCATCATAATTCACTTGCTACAACTCATTAGCTACATCCCTCTTGTCATATTAATGTACCCACAAATGCACAAAAAGAATTAACTAGAGAAAAATCCTTAAGAAGGCTTTCATATAATTATAGATATTTCATTTTAAATAAATATGAAACACCATAGATTTTAGGACCCAGCAGGAACATAAAGCCATTTCAAAAACCTAGCTGAAGCAAAGGAAAAATATTGCCTGTTATGCTGCTTTCTTAAAACAACTCATTCGTTTCTGAGCCGTAGCAGCTTTAAAGGACCTAATGGCTGAAAGAGCAGTTGACCAAAATGGGCATAGTTTTATTTTTAAAGTTCAGATATTCAGAAGATTTTTAAGTGAGCTTCTAAAATTGTGCTCACGATTTTTTGTGTATAAACATGTGAGTATACCAAAATGTGGATATGTGAGGGCAAATTGCATTTGCAAAGGCAACAGTCTACTTAAATGTGTAAATGACTGATTTGTGTGTTCAGCTTTGGTTTGGCTCGTAAATTAGATGTCAATAAAATATATGATTGCCAAACATAAATGTACCTAGGGAGAGTTGCAGTTTCAGAGATTACTTTTGAACATATTATCCCAAGTCCTCAGCTGTTTATATTGACTTAGTTTCATTGATAATAATGGAGTTGATTCAGACCATTTAGTACTTTAGACCTAGTCCTACTTAAGTGCTAGTCCTTAGTATTTTACCCTTAATTTTTCCCTTGAATAACTCCTTTCCTTACCCACAACCTGCTTCCCCCATGAAAAAACCCAAAGGTTAAACAAAATGTGTAATCTTGAACTTTGTAGTGTGTGTAAATGCCGAATCTTCAGAGAAATACCATTATTTTTGAGTTATTATTTTTATAAACCCAGAATTTTTTAATGGAAGGTATATTACAGTAGGTTCTCAAATGGCTGTCAAATACATGATTTACAGTATTTCAGTCATTTCTTAAAAGTAATATTACAGCATGAACTTTGTATAATGAAATCTTCTAGACAGGCCTAGGTAGTATAGTGGGATGGTACATTAGCCATGATCATCTAAGTGAAGCTTTGAATCTAGGAACTAGTTGAAGTTTTGATAGTTTCATCCTAGTCTCTGCACCAGAAAATCACTATGTTTGACAGCAATGGCAATGTCTATTTTGGAGAGGCCTAGGGCTCGAATAAGGATATATTGCAGGCCAAGACTGTGGTGACTTATCATGATTTTAAAAAATACTAAACCTTAAAGTTCTACATGTGAAACCAATTTAAAAGTAGAATGGAAACTGTTTTATTATCACCTTGCATTAACAGGATTGCTTTACTGTTTATTTAGTACATGTTGAGAAAGTCCTCTTCCTACCTATAACAAATTTCAAGTTAAGCAGAATGGGTGGCAGCTTTCATTTAATTACCAGTGACTTATTAAATACCTTTCAAAGATAGTTTATATGTATGTTACATGATTAGATGGAACAAAATACAGGCAAAATATTTGGTATACTAGTTGCAGAAAGTAGTTCAAGTAGGCTGCTCTGGGAGTGTGTGTGTGGGGTAAAATGGGGCCTACCCACGGCCAACTCCCGCCCCCCCCCCAGTATCCACTGGACTCAGAACAGTGCAAGCGAGACCTCCTGGGGGGCACTAAGACCAGGGTGGGGTGTTCCCCTCCAAACAGCCAATTGACATTTGGGAAAGAAACTGCAGATAGGATCTTGCCAGAGAATGGCACTCTGAACAGTCTCTCCACTGATTGGCTGTTTGCGCCAACCTGTGTTATTCCTTCCTTTCCTTAGTCTTTTCATTTAACTAATCCTCCTCCTAACCTAATTTCACTTAAAGGATTTAAATCAGTCAAAACCAAAACAAACATGATGTTTGCAACCATCGTATTATTTACTCTGTTTGTTTGGTCTGTCCTTTTCCACTACCCTGTATTTAGTTTGTAAGTTCTTTAGGTCAGGGACTTTATCGCATTGTATGTATGTATAGTGCCTAAAACGGGGGCAGTGGCGGCATTCTTGCTTGGTCCCTGGGCAATGTCATAATAAACATGATTAATTTTATTATTAATGTGAATATAACAAGTGTTTGTTTTTTGCTTGGTCAAATAATCTTAAAGATTTGTTTAAAATATCATTATAGCAGCAGACTGTTTGTTAGAAACAGTATCAGAAAATACCCTCTAGAGTTTTATAATTGATTGTGTGATTCTTCTCAATTTTTTAATGAGCTTTTTCTCTCTCTCTTTATGCAGAGATTTGAAAGGTGTTATAGTTACTCTGAGTGACAGTGGGCACCTGCAGTGTTCCTACCTTGGTACCGATCCTTCTCTGTTCCAGGCTCCTAAGGTTGAATCTAGGGAAATAAACTATGAAGAACTTGACAGAGAAATGAAAGAGCTTCAGAAAATCATCAAGGAGTCCACAAAAACACAAGGTACATCCATTCTTCACATAGTTATATAGCACTTTTCAGTACTCTGTCTTTGCTATACTTTGACCATACTTAACAATGTGTAGTGTGTAATATTAAATGTATTCAGGTCAAAGCATTTCACTGTCTCTTAATTACAAATGTGCAAACAAAACCATAGACTGTGTGGCTCTTGGACACATAGGGTATTTGTTTTCATCACGCCTATTGGAACCTGCAGGAGGCCTATGTCAGATGTCGGACCAAGCTTATTAGTGCTGTACTGCAAAGAAAAAACTGACAGTGGGGTATAGTCTCCTATAAAAAGGCAAGAAAATTTCAGTAATTTCACAAATATAGTCTAGTGCACTTCTCAGGCTTCAGAAAGAACAAAAGTGTTGCCAGTTCTCTGTTTTTTGTTAAACATGGTTTCTAGTTTTTCATGAAATTAACAAAGAATGAATTGTGTTAGTCACATTTCTGTTACCTCTTTCAAAATCAGTAATACTTGAAATATGGTAAAGGAGTTACCAAATGTGTTGCCCCGCACTAAAGAAGTGATCATTTCAAACTGTGGAATTTACATGCACACCTAATTACTTGACCAAATGTAGTATAACTTATGGCACACCATTTGGAAACAGTTCCGTCCAAGATTATATTTTTAGTAGCTGAGTTTTTAAATGACTCAATTATCTTGCCTGGAGAATCACAAGCATACAATTTTACTGGGAATTGTGAAAAAATAGTTTCAGCTAGACTTATGAAAGACATTATTTTAAATACCTTTCAGTGCCTGCCAGGGTCAGGTAAATGAATTCTTAAAAATACACTAAAGAAATTGTTCCTATTTTTGGTGAGAATACATGGTAAACAAGTAGCAAAATAAAAGAAATGCACAATCAGAAGCTAGGGAAAATAAGAGATGAAACCCTGGTACCTGTACATTACTGGATTCCTGAGGTTGCTTCTGCAAGTTATAGATTACAGAAATTGAATCTATGAGAACCTTAGAAAATTGTATTTAGTTTATGACCATTACTGTTGTGATAATTTGATCATCTTCAACTTGTTCTGCTCTTTGAAAATTAATAAAACCAATAACCAGTTGTTAAAACTGTAATGCTTTCAAAATTAAAATGCCTGATTTACCATGATACATCTTCATAAGTGTCTGAACACTGGGAGATTTTCTTTTGTCAGGCTGCCAGTACCAAACCAAAGAAGGAAAGAAGGAAAAACAAAAATAAAACAAAAACCTTGTGAGTGTGTCATTGTAACTATATTACTGATGGACAGATTTTTGTGTAACTTGCTTCAGTGCACATAGTTCCAAGAACACGAACAACCAAATCAAAAGAGGACGACGAGAGAACAAACCACACACCTACCCTTTTATTCCTTTTCTAACATAAATGAATCAATAGTACACATATGAAACTCTTACAACTTGATAAATTTGCTGTGAATATTTGTTTTATTGTTTAATAAATTAAACCTAAATTTGAAAAACACTGGTTTTGCATTTTCTCTGCAAGGTGTGAAGCTTCAGGTTCAAATCATGTCTCCTGAATTTTTACCTCCTTCTGGAGAAATGAGGTTTTGATCTCATTTTAATTGCATGTAAAACTTCTCAGAAAATCCCTATTACAACAGAAGTCTTTCACTTGGGGGCGTATAAATGCCTTTTAATTTTGCATGTTATGGGTTACATTTAGTTTTTTTTTCTCCTATCATTGAAAAAAGTCTTAAAATAACTGTTGTTCAGGGATAGTTGAGTACCAAAGATTCTGGAACATAGGCAGTCATTCAATTACTGTATACATAACCTTTAAACTAAAGTGAACCATTAACTTTTCTGTCTTGTGGTTTCATGTGTGAGCAATGGTCTTGTGTTCTTTATTCCTTTAACTGTTATGTTATGTGATATCCATCTGGATGGTTCAGATGATTGAGAATAGAGCCTTTCACATCTCAGCCACCAATTGAATTTAGTCCAGCTGATAGTGACCAAAAGTTGATCTGACAGCTGCTTGATGTTCTGTGTAAGGTGGACTTGTGGTCTCAGTCCAGTTCCTAGTGCACAGATGACCATATGATAAAATTCTCACCATCACAATGGGCACTAAGAAGAATGTTGTTAGAAATCTTAGCAAAAAGAATTGAATAGGCATAGTGAATGAACTGTCCTTTTTTGGAGATAGCCTATCCTATCTCCTAGAACTGGAAGGGACCTTGAAAGGTCATCGAGTCCAGCCCCCTGCCTTCACTAGCAGGACCAAGTACTGATTTTGCCCCAGATCCCCAAGTGGCCCCCTCAAGGATTGAACTCACAACCCTGGGTTTAGTAGGCCAATGCTCAAACCCACTGAGCTATCCCTCCCCCTCCATACAAGTGGTCACTATAGGACATACTTGAGTTCTACTTGCAGAAGAGAGTTGGAAAACTTCTTAGGTACTGTCTTTTTCCTGCCTAGATAAAGAAAGGACTTGAATGTGACATCTCCCATTGGCTCTAAAAAATGAACATGAAAATTGAATTGATGCTCCTTTCCCCACCAAAATTGTTTTCTCTAGGCTATATTGTCAATGAAGTGGATCAGGTGATTACATTTAATTTGGAGTACATTTGAAACATTTATACACTCTAGATGTTAGTTTTTGCAGGAAGAATTGATAGATACCCCATAATTAAGGTTATATATTTTTTCCTATTGCTATTACGTGAAAGTTTCATTTTTTGTTATTTAGGAAGGTATGCATCCTATTTTTTTAAAATAGAC